GACACCGGGGGCGTGGCTCACCCCACCACGACGGATGGGACGGCGGTACAGTTTGATGAAACGGGACGCGGCGCGGGATGGGCATGAACGACACAACCAACGAAACGAACACGGAGGGGGGAACGATAAGTTTTTGGTCACAAAATCTGTGCCGATCGAACACCGCACAGCAAGACTGGCTGATCTCACTGAACAGATCGAAATTCGGAGTAGGGCTCGCACAAGAACCGTACCTCGACTTCCTAGGAAACTCGAGGGCGAATCACACCTGGATTTCAATATACCCTAGCACCCACCGAAGGAACCGCAACATCACCAGATCACTCATGCTCATACACCACACCATCGCGCAAGACAGCTGGATGCAAATCCCGGTCGAATCACCCGACGTAACCGCCATCAAACTCTCGGACGCGAACGGAGACTTATTAGTTTTCAACGTCTACCTCGATCAACAAAGTTCTGACGCGCTCTTTGCCATAGATAGGACCATAGACTCCATCCAACGCGATCGGAGGAACCAAACACGGCCCCTGCACATACTATGGGCGGGCGACTTCAACCGACACTCACCACTATGGGATGAAGAACGCAACTTCCACCTATTCACCGCTCCTAACCTGGCTAAAGCGCAGATACTGATCGACTTAGTGGCCAAACATGATCTCAAGATGCTCCTTCCACATGGCGTTCCGACGCTGGAGGCCATGGCCACGAAAAATTTCACTCGCCCCGATAACGTATTCCTCTCTGACAGCTTGATGGACAGATGCGCCAAGTGCACGACGGCTCCAGGACAAAGACCGCCGAAGACGGACCACATACCAATAATATGGGACATCGAACTCTCACTCAAACGCAAGGAATACCGTCCGCGCCTCGCATGGGCATTGGTCGACTGGGAGGAATACCGCGAGAAGCTTGAAAAACGACTAGAACCGCACCCCTACCCGGAGGAGATCGAGAATATAGAAGAATTCCAGGAAGTTCTAACAACACTCCAAAAAGCGATTCAGGAGACGACCGACGAATGCGTCCAACGCCACAAGATCGTACCGTATACCAAGAGATGGTGGAACAAAGACCTCAACGAGAAACGCAAGCTTGCGCGCCAACTCGGCAAGAAGTCATACCACTGCCGCCTCAACGGACGCGACCCCATACACGAAGAATATCGACGGGCCAGGAACGACTACACCAACTCGATCAAACGCGCGAAGAAAGAATGCTGGACGCGATGGTTGGAAACGGTGAATGACCTAACAATGTGGCAGACCAGCTCTTTCATTAGCTCCCCTTCCACAGATGCAGCGAGAGCCAGAGTCCCCACGCTCACGACAAAACAACCCGACGGCCAAACTACGACGGCTTCCTCAAACCGGGAGAAGGCGGAACTCTTCAAGGCGGAATTCTTCCCGAAGGCCCCCGACCACGTTCAGATCGACGAAGACGAACACGAGGATGAATACCCAGAACCAGCATTCGAGTTCGCCCCCATCACCGACGAACGAATAAAGAAGACGATTGCGGGACTATCACCGTACAAGGCGCCGGATACAGACGAGTTTTCCAACTCCGTACTCACACACTGCGCTGACGTGCTCACACCCAGACTCGGTGTTCTATTCCGGGCAGTACATACGCTCCGATACTGGCCAGACGAATGGCGCTATGTCGGCACGATAGTGCTTCGAAAGCCCGGGAAAGACGACTACACGAAGCCGGGAAGTCACCGACCGATATCTCTGATCAAGAAAATCGCCATGCTGTACTCGAAATGCATCTCGGACGACCTACTACATCAGGCAGAACGACACCACCTCCTTCAACCCACACAATTCGGATTCAGACCAGGAAGAGCCACCACGGATGCGATACACTACGCGATAGCAAAGATAAAGGACACCTGGCGAAGAGGGAAATGCGCGGCGTTACTTCTGTTAGACATCAAAGCTGCGTTTCCTCATATCGTGATCAGCGTCCTCATACACGAGATGCGACTGAAAGGAGTTCCTAGGGAGTACACCGATTGGATACGATGGAGATTCAAAGGCCGGAAGACGCGTCTAGCATTTGACGACTACGAATCCGACATCATCACCCTTGAAGATGGACTCGATCAAGGCGACCCGTTCTCATCAACGGGGATGATATTTTACATTGACCGGCTCCTACGCGAAGCACCAGACAGAGCGGACGGAGAGGAATCATTCGGCTTTGCGGACGACACGGGATTCCTGGCAATCGGCGACACCCTGGAAGAAGCAGCGGGCAAAGTAGAAAGCTGCATGGTACGGGCGAACGGGGCCCTCGACTGGAGCGAAGCTACGAACTGCAAATTCGGACTCGAGAAAACAGTATGCATCGGGTTCACCAGGCGACGAGAACC